ATGTATTGTGCTCCACAAACACGAAATGGATAACGTGAACGCTCTGGCTTTTCAAAGTGGAACAAGCTCCCCATGTATTTGTACCCATTGCTTGTAGTTCATTTTCTCCCATTATTAAGAAGGCGATCAACAGATAATAAGGTATTTTACTTGATAGTAAATCAGTTTCATCTATCACACTCGCGATAGAACCACATGTGATGAACGAATCCTGAAAAAAGGTTGTCAAAACTATCCATGGAACTTTTCGGACTTATTTCCAGGATGCACAACCGCCATTCCGTTTTCGTTCCTGCAGAGTCTGAGGAGCCATTCAATATTATCACATGCCAGCCACATTTCTTTATCATCATTTTCCGAATGCTCCATCAAATGTATGGAACTTGGTGTGAGTGTGAGGGCTAAGACAAATACGTTACGCTTCAAAATAGTATCTGTTCACAAAGATATATTTCACTTTCGTGTAAAAAATAGAACTATCACATATATTCATAACGTCGCTCCGTTTCCCGAACTCATCTAACACTTGGCCAAGATGTTGTTTTTATTTCGTATTTACGAATGGTCCATGCTTGATTTCAATGACCACTATAATCTGCTCAATCATAAGCTCAATCAAATGCAAGTTCATTCTAACGTTCATCCAAATGGGCATCCAAAAGACAGCAACTAAACCCGGCTCACCGTAGTGCATGGTTAATGATTGTATAAACTGAAACTAAAACTGATATACAAATATATGCAGATAAATATGCATGTACGACGACTGAGCACAAAGTTTCCAGATACGCAGTTCACATACGAGATGCAGATGAACGGCCAAGGAAAACGTGAACTGTAATCTATTGTGAACATTATTCAGTGAGTGCAACTCACACAACCAAATGTCAACAGCCGAGCACATCTCATAAGTCATAGGGGTCACTATACTCGAACTGTAAGGATGGAACTGAGTCGATGTCACTGTAGGGCGATGATTTTCCACGACTAAAAATGTGGTCTAAAGCAGCAGCAGCAGCAGCAGCAGTGTTGATCGTTTGCGAGCTACCTTTGGTGATGACGTACCGTCAAGAAGCCCTGCTTGAGTAGTTTGTGGAATTAAAGCGTGACAGGGGGGTCGCTGGATGATGAGACACGGTGTGGTCAACCTGTGGAGGCCACCACAGCGGACAACATTGCTGCTGCTCAAGCGATGGTGGAGCAGGATGCATGGGTGACAGTGGCAAAGTTGAACAAAGCCATTGGGATGTCATCGGGATCAATCCGTACCATCTGGCATGAGAAGCTCGGCCTCAGAAAGGTTTGTGCATACTGGGTACCCCGTCAGTTCAGTGTAGACCAGGAAGCAGTTCAG